TCATATTTCATACAAAAAATTATTGCTCATTTTCATTTGACCGCTTAAAACATAATTATTTAAGCATCGATTTTCATCAGAAGTTGCTTGTCTTTTGGCAAAAGAACAGGCTTTAATACAAAGGGAAAATAGTTACAAGAGATTTGTAATTTTTTTTTTTTAATTTTACCTTGTTAAGGTTCGACTTTTTTCATAGAAATTAAAATATCTTAGGAAAATTACCTGATCTGGAAAATTGTATACAAATCCATAATCGACGACCCAATATTAAGTTAACGTATTTCGGCATTTTTTTTTTTTTTTTGTATTTTAAAAACTTGAGATTTTCCCTACCGTGTAGTTCATAGTTTTCGTAGACTCTAACAAACAGTTTATATTAATCAGTTCGTGATCCGTGAAGTTACATTTTACTAGAGGATATTAAAGGTTTAACCAATTTTCCACCACTTCATTAACTTCCATCGACACATTTCATTTCACTGTTTAGTTTTACCTAGGGGGCAATAGTGACCTGCAAAAAACGTGAGTGTGAATACAATTAATTAGCGGACAAACAAATGCGTAGTCCAACTGTCTGCCAGCGTTCATTTTAAGTGAACTTGTTACTTTAGCGGCTTTTGTAAGTATGTAAAACAAAAGTAAACAACAAAAACAAAAATGTATAGAAATGTTATAATAAAAGTTAATAAAATGGAATTTATCGATGTTATTTAATACGCAAGGCCATTGCAGAGCTCAAATTTCCAGATGCTTGTTGGGGCGTTGGAAAAATAATTATATATCTCAAACAAGGTGGGCAAGTTGTCTTGGAGATATTGGCACAGGCTATGCGGTAGCGACTTGCACACATTTCTTGACTGGTGGGTGCCCTTATCTGCGGATTGTCATGTAGGTTGTTTTAGTTGCGAATCAATTACATACATTTAGAGCGCTGAAGTACAAATAAATTCTTGATTTTTTACTTCTGCTTGTTTTTTTTTTTGGAAGTTACAGGCAAGCTGCAATGCAGTAAGAACAAATGTACTGTCAAAATGGAAAGACCCCAGATTCTGTCACACCAATATTCCAACCAACTACCCCGATACGTTTAGGTCCCCAGACTACACAACAAGACCGATGGAGCTCGAGAATAAGTTCTCCACTCGTATCCCTTCGAGGAAGTATTGAGAGGATGACTCGGTCTGGAGCCTCTTAAGATAGCTTCACAGCCATCTACACAGATGGCTCCAAACTAAATCTAAGAGTAGGGAGTGGGATACTCTCTATGGACCTCTCCTAGATCTCTGCTTTAGGCTACCAGACCACTGCAGTGTCTTCCAAGCAAAATTTGCGGCTATAAAAAAGGCTGCACTCTGGCTTGGCGAATCTTCTTTCTACCTTCCTTCAGTAAACCATATACTCGATAGCCTACCTCGGATATAACTGCGATAGCATGTGGGAAAGCCCTTACTAATTTAGCTTCAAAATCTACTACTCACATCGTGTGAGTACCAGGCCGCAGGGTCATTCAAGGTAACTGTGTGCTGCGGACGAGCTTGCGAGCTGCTCTCATGCAGCGGGCATACCCCTATCTACCTGCAAGACATGGCTCGGAACATACTTCGGTGGTAAGGCAAACAAAAGATGGTCGGAAGAACCCACGTGTGGGACGACTCGATAAATCTGGCCCATCTTCGACAAGAAAAGATCCGACGCACTCATTAGATTAGAACACCCTCTACTAAGGCTGGTGAACGGTATCATTGCAGGCCACTGCTTAATGGAAAGGCATGTTCGCAGAATGGGTCTGCCGGCTAATTACTTCTGCCGTGATTGCCGCGACGAGGACGAAATCGAGAGCGTGGGGCACTATCTCTGTCACCGGCCTTATGTGGGCAAGAGGACGCTCATTTCCCCACCACCGTTTTGCCTGTCTCGCCGATCTAATTGAAGCAGGCATTTACGAATGAGGAATTTAGGCAGCAGCTACAACCTAACCTACTTCTGGTTTTATTCAAAGATGGGTTGTGTTTCTTGAAAAACTAGTATTGGACACACAAAACAGGGCGTATGAGTAACATTTGTTAGACCGTTGATACAATGCATGCACCAGAAAATAATTACCAGCATTTTTGGACTTTTCAGCCGAGCAATAGCCTTCAGAGCAATATCGTATGAGACAACAAAGATGTCTTTTAAGAAATTATACAAAAAAAATCATTTAGCCAGTAATGAAAATCGCTGGTTTGTTCTGAAAAAAACTTCGTTAATACAGGTCATATCTCTGAGCTTCGGAACTTGTTCTTCGATTTGTGCTTAAGCCATGACATACCCCCACCAAATTGCAATTTTATACTCATTCTAGTTTTGACTAAAATTTTTACATATACACATATGTATGTACATATTTTCTACTAAAAATTTCATCACCATATTTACAGAGTCGTTTATTTTTTCGCATTAGAGCGTAGCGTAGCCAACACCAGTAGCTACCCAACCGATGGCTGATAGCCAAGTATAGCGCGATAAGAATACTAAATCCCAAATGCGCCTATTTCTGAAAAACCCACAACTACGCTGCCACACATCTAATAAATAACTAACGATCATGCATTTACATATACAAGTTTGATTACTACATACACTTGTTAGCTAGAAACCTAAGTATAGCGCCTGGAAAGTATTCAACTGTCGCGCATGCGCTGACGTTTTCTCTATCTCTCAGTCTCGTGTTGTTAGACAAACGAGTATTGGAGAGCTACAGAAGTTAAAAAAAAAATGTATGCGTAAATGCATGTAAATGTAGTACATACTTATGACAGCATGTTTCCACGCATTGAATTGTATAAATGCATATTTATGTAAATCGAGTTTGTCGCGCTTTCGCGTCGTGTGGTTTTTGAATGAATACATTTGTTCTACATAATATGCATTTTTATTTTGTGCTATTTGTGAAGAGAAGGTAATGTGGCGCTGTCTATGGAACTCCTCACACTATTGGAACAAACCTTTAAAATGTATAGGATTAGTGGAACGCTAAAACTTAGAGTACGCGACCTCTAGATATCTTTCTAACACACAACGTTGTTTTAATTATCATTGATTTATCATACATAGATATCTGTTTCTCTGAAAGTATATGCATACTGTATGTACATCATTCGAGAACCAATGTGATTGATATCTTAACAACATGATTTTTAAAACGAACTATATAAATAGACATTTAAAATAAAGTTCTACGCATATCAAAACACTGCTTAGCTGCTAGCTGAAAAAAAACGCTCGCCTCTCTTCAAAATTAACTGAATATTTACGTACTATTGAGTATCGTTTTGCGGTTTCTGCAGTTAACTTTATTTACTTAGTGGTACGATCGTTGTCTAAGGTTTACCACCCGTCTTGTGCGCAACAGCTCATGCATACTTAATTTATTGTTGTATTTCATACGAATACATATATTTGCATATGTACCAAAAGCCTTGCATACATGTAAGTTTTGTAGAAAATTTGTATGTATGCACATTAGAGCGCACCAGAAAAAACAAGTTCTCCTTACACCACTATGTTGCACATTTTTTTGCAAGGCAATTTCGAAAAAAATTGTTTTTTTTTTTTGGGGGCGAACGTAAGGGTCGCCTTTTTACAGTTTTCGTAATATCTTCGGCAGATGTTCTTTTGTTCAAAAGTTCATTGACCTCAAGTACCCCGTTTTTGTGCTTGCCCAATAGATTTCCGTTCCTGCAACCCTAACGTACCACCCTAGTGTCAGTAAATTGCAGCTCGCCAAAAATCATTAAACTTTTGCTGAGGAAATATTATATACTTATTGCAGTAGAACTCCTAAAAAAAATAGTATATGTTTCACCTAGGTTCGGGCAAAACAAAAATTTTTTCGGAGTTGCTTTTCAAAAATATTTTATGCTCAGTGGTATACGGTGATTTTTTTTTCGTTTGCTTGTAAGGTGGTACAGTCTAATGCACATATCTAATTGAAATGTACGTTAATAAATACATTGATTGCTTGCTTTTGGTAGTCCAGTCAACGTATTCGCATATTCTAAACGGATCCGAAAATATGTATATATATTTTTTTGACATCAACAATTTTTTCTTTGATTGCTTCTACGAGTATTAAAATGCTATGCTACATTCTTACATACAAACATTCATTTGTGTTCATATATGCATGTATGTATGTACATATATTAAATAAACAACGCTTACTATTCGTCAGTCAATTAGTCTTGCAGTCGTTCAGTCAGACAGACCGTTACTTGGTCGATGAATCTCTAGCACTTATTTTCGCCATTCGCCGATTACTCATACGCCTTGGTTAGCTCGTTGCCGATAAAATTTTGGTTTAAATTATGGCTGACAATCAGGTCGCGCTCAATTCGTGAGACCTTCATTTAGTCATTGTTAAACGTACGCGAGTAAGTATTTATGTATGTGTGAGTGCGTGCTTACAAAAAAAGAGAGAAATCTCGCACATTTCCAATCTAAGTATGTACATATATTCATTTTTTTCTTCTTAAGTATATCTTTATATTTTACTTGTATATTTGATTTGATGTCGCTGTGCTTTGTCATTCATCTTCACCGGCTCAGTTCTGTGCCGCCAGCTCGCTGACTGCGTCGTTTGGCCTTTTTGTTTTGAAATACACGTCCGAATCGTTGTCGCAAATTTTCGGCGGGGGTTTTCCTTTGTTGCAGAGTACTTAAGTTAATTTTTTGCGTCGCAAATCAAGAAATTTCAATTAAAAAAATTTTACGAAACCCAGGTTTTATTAAAAAGTATTACTTTCTGTATACAAACTCTGTTCGACGCGTATGTTTATACAAATAAATATTACTAAATTGATGTGGTGTGCCAAATATGCTCACAGGTAAATTTGTGCTGCTCAAATTGTGGCTCATTGTGTCTGATTGTGCTGTGAACCTGTTTATGAAATCCTATGGTTGTGTTTGTGTTGACGTACATACTAATGCTTTGAGGTATGCCTCAATTTTTTTTTTTCTATATTAATGCGTTTAAAATCGAATATTTGTTGTTGTGTGTGTCTATGTGCACACGTGCGTCAATTCAATAGCCGACTCACCTGTTGAGTAAAGACAGAAATTAAATTTAGCATAGAATTTACGCTAGTTGGAAATTTCAAAATATTTTGAAATCAATGAGTAATAGAAAGTGATTTAAATTTACTTGTAGTAGATCATTGTAGTCTTAGCCGGATATTTTAAGATGTGACTGATGTGATAATTGCATATGAAGTAATTGTCTATGACATTAAATTCCTGCGATGCGATGTAACGTTAAGTCGTGCGATATTATCGTGGGATATATGTACATTATGGCGGGTCACTTTGTATGGTAGTTTTTTTTGTGTACTATGAGCGTTAAGCACAGGAGGATTCTACGGGTGATTCTAAGCCAATTTGCAGAAGAAACTATGGATACAAAATCAATTTGGAGTTTGCCAAATTGAGAAAAGAGGTTTCCTAGCATTTTGCCGTAGTGTCGTAAAGTAGTGCTTAAATTTTGTATAAAAACGAGGAATCAATTTCTGCCTTAAATTTTTCTCAAAACTTCCATCAGAGGGCGGAACAGTGAAAATTTTCCAATTTTCTTCGAAACTTATTTTCGCAGTTTGGCAAGCTCCAAATTGATTTTAGACCCAAGGTTTCTTCGGCAAATTTGCTTAGAATTACACATAGAATTTGCCTATGATATACGCTATGAACCAATTTACTCAGGAATTGGATATGATATCACAAAATCTGATGCAGCGATCTGATATTGATTGATGTGATGTGATTAGGTGATTTGACTAATTTTCACGCGATGTTATAAAAAATTTTTAATTATGATAGATACGTTCGCACAAAACTTATAGCAACATGTTGGCATACACACTTGCATACGTATGTACGTCGGTACGATGTTACGTGAGGTGATGTGATGCGATGCCATCTTATGACTAGTTTGCTAAAAAATGTTAAGTTATCCCAAAAAATACTTAAAATTTTCGCATTAAATAAAAAATATATTCGCTTATTACGGAGCTGAAGTCAGATCTAAAAAATTCAAAATGGCGGATGATTTGTAACAAAATTACTACATACATTTTTACGAAACTCTCTGTTTGGCGGTTTTCGGGTTCGCTAATTACGAATCTGAAGTCAGTTTTGAAAAATTCAAAATGGTGGATCCAATATGGTAGATGATTTAAAAAAATATATATACTTTTTTTGAAACTGTTTATAAAGGGAGTTATGGAGTAGCTGATTTCGAATCTGAAGTCAGATTTTGAGTACTCAAATGGCATGTTAAAATATGGCGGATGACTTAAAAAAAAATTAATACATTTTTATGAAACTTTCTATAGGCGGTTTGTTGAGATTAATGCATATTTAAAAGAAGGTCGGGCACCAAAACTTTTAGGTTTATAACTATAAATTTCACCACTTTTGATTAACTGCTGGCCCATGGTGCGATGGCTTTATGCAAGTTTTATGGTAATTACTCTCACAGCCAACACTCTCTCAAACCTGTTTCAATCATCTCTTATAAACTGCCACATAAAACAACAATCAATTAATCGTATTCTCATTCTCATACTCACCAGGTCGCGATGATCTCTCACCTTCCAGCAGTCTCAACGGCTATTCGGCCAATGAAAGTTGTGATGTTAAAAAGATTAAAAAGGGTCCAGCGCCGCGACTACAAGAGGAACTGTGTTTGGTGTGCGGCGATCGGGCATCAGGTTATCATTACAATGCGCTCACCTGCGAAGGCTGTAAGGGTTTCTTTCGTCGTAGTGTCACGAAAAATGCTGTGTATTGTTGCAAATTTGGGCACTCCTGCGAAATGGACATGTATATGCGACGTAAATGTCAAGAGTGTAGACTGAAGAAATGCCTAGCGGTAGGCATGCGACCGGAATGTGTTGTGCCGGAGAATCAGTGCGCTATGAAGCGGCGTGAAAAGAAAGCGCAAAAAGAGAAGGAAAAGCAGACGACAGGCAATTCGCCGATTATTTGTAAGAGTGAGTCAATAAAGAATGAGATACTCGAACTGATGAACTGCGAACAGCCGTCGCATCCAACATGTCCGGTAAGTAATCATTTGAAGTGGTGTTAAGGAATTCTTTAACTATTTTTATTTTTTTTATTTACATATTTTTAGTTGCTACCTGATGACATTGTGGCCAAGTGCAAGGCGAGCAACATTCCGCCGCTTACACGCAATCAGTTGGCGGTTATATACAAGTTGATCTGGTATCAGGATGGCTACGAACAGCCATCGGAGGAAGATCTCAAGCGTATTATGGTGAGTTGATTGAATAAAACACAATGCGAAATAACCGATCGTAAACAGCTTCGAAATGCAATCCTCTCAAAGTTTGTCTTATTCAATTAGACGATTTTTTGCCGACTGAATTATGAATAGCTGCCATGATAGACATTTTGCCTTAAACCGATAAGTTAAGAGCGATCACTCTCGCCATTTATTTGCTTTTCTGTTTCGATCTAAACTAATAATATCGTAAGCGGTCTTTACTGAATGGACCCATTAATAGATTCTTCGACGATGTCCTAGACCACCTTTCCGCCCCTTCTAAAATGGG